GATATGCGATGTTGATATAGTTGCTGATCAAACCAGTGCCGTGGCGAGAGAAAAAAGCAGGAGGGGTGTGCATTTTTTCTGAGAGATCAACTCTAAAAAAAAAAACGCAGCTACCTTTCAACTCTAAAAAAAAAAGCAGCAGAATTCTAAGGAGAAAGGAAAAATTATTGAAGAGAAAGGAAAAACTATTAAAGAGAAAATTTTTCCAGAAGCAGGGGGAGCTTACACCCCCCCACACTCCCCCTTTAGCCACGGCACTGGATCAAACAAAGTTTTCGGAGGACTCTAATTCTAGCTTTCTAGAGTACTCTTTTTCTAGCTATTTTTTATTTTTATTATTGAAAACAATGCCGTACAATATTTCTCTCTATTTTCAGTGCTAACTTCAGTCTATGAATTTATCATCTATTAATTCCACTGCATTCGTTTTCAATTATTCTGATACGTAAAAATAACATACGTAATATATGTAGATAAGTCTGGAGCCTTTATTGTGCACTACATACGATAAAAAATTGAATACAATGATGCTAGCCAAAGTTCAGTACTTTCTCGAAGGAAACCACCTGATGAGACCCTTGAGAAAGGTCGAAACCGGTCGTGGTATCTTCTTTGATTCTTTCAGAAATGAATTCTGTCTGAGTCTCTAGTAACTAAGAAGGCGGTTGTAAAATTACTAAATATAATTATAAGTCGAGTTTTATATACAGATTTAGTTTTTTTATTTTAATTTTTATTATTTACTTGTTTTACTTTATCTGAACGCAGAAGAATGAAACATTATTCTAGGAGATCATTATTGCATTTTAAAAATGTTAACATGCATAACGTTGATGCTGATAACTTTGAACGATGTGGGCGAATGATCAAGCCGCTTTAAGGAAAAATTCACTCTATTGGTGCGGATGTTGCAGGAACAATAAAAAAAATTCACACAGCCAAAAATTCTTTGTAAAGTATACCAGTAAAAAATTTAAAGTACTCGAAAATACTCTAGTACAACATAGTACGTAAAAAAAGGTCCCGAGTACGAGTAACGAAAATTTTGTACGAATTTCTTTGTATTATCACAGTTGACTGCTATCTGGTGACATCTGTCGCCAGCCTACAGAAAACGTTTGCTTAGCTTTTTGTCTCTCTGCATCGATAGATATTTCAAATCATCTCGTTGAATATTTTCTCCCTTCTGTAAAAAATAATTTTCTACTTCTCTCTCTTGTGATTCGCTTAGCCATAGAATATCTGACAGCCATTTTTCCGTATTTTGCGCACACACACGCAGACAACCATTTTATAAGACCCTAGACTAAAGTCAAGGGAATATTTCGTCTGTAAGAGGAAGGTTGGGTTTTAGTAGCCGGTTAGCGAGGAAGACCGATCCTTTCCTAGCTTAATGTGATATTTGATGTCGAGTGAAATCAGCCAGTTTGTAGCTTTCCATTCTCAGACTATGTGACTAGTTAGCACCTTCGTCACACTTTCTTGATCATTTTTTGTGGAAACCACGCTCACAATCACTATTTGATTTTCTGTCACGCGAGGCTGAAAACGATGCCGGCACTGAGCGGATTATGTGAAAACGTTCAGAGAGATTTTGAATGAAAGCCAACAGACGGCACCCTAGAGTTTTAAAATAGAAAAACATGTGAACTACTTCTTGAAACAAACAAAATGTGAAACAAAACTTAAAATTAAGATTTTCACACTAAATGATACGGGAGATTTTTTTTTTTGTTTTCAACGAAAAACAAGAAAGGAAAGAAAATAATATTATCATGAGCGGCCATTTTTGGCAGCTATTATTATCAGGTAACTTCTATCACGGAAGGACTTTTTTGCGTTGAAATCCAGCTTTCTTCGAAGTTTACTCTTCTCCAGCAGTACAGTCAGTTTGGAAAAGCAAGGCTGAAGTCATTACATCTGAGAAAGTCCGATTTTTCTCGTCACACCCGTCATTAGCTGATTGGACTAGGTTTCATCCGTAAAACCTAATCAGTCCTTTATCTGGACATTGTAAATTTAATCTTTTACTTTTAGATCTTATGAGTTTTCTTATTTGAATTCTGTTTTGTTCATCGAACCAAACAACAATGATCAGACGCTTAATTCTATTTTGAGATTGTATGTTGAATTATATCAGCTATATTCTTCTCATCAAGATAAACAACAGGTTCATTCATTTATTTCTCTTATTAATCATCTGCTCTATTTTTTCTATTTCTTTCTTGTACTTTAGCGACAACCATCACTAAATTGTCGTCAAATATGCAGGTGAAAATTTAAGTGATAATGTTTTTCTTCTTGTAACTTTTTGTACTGATATTATTTCTATGGTACTTCATTATTTATTTTTCTTCATTCCAGTTTAAAATAACATTAGGCGTATTGAAATATACATTGCCATTAGCTCTAACATATGGTTATCGAAAAGGTTTATGAACAACAGATAATAGTTTAATGGTGTTACGTGTTTTAGCATGTGTTACAGTTTATTTTATTTATTACATGATATGGACAGATTTGTTAATCCACATTATATTAGATTTATTGAAGATTATGCTAAGTTGAAAAATGAATAACAACAAGAACAAAATCGAGCAGTAAGACGGATTAGTTAGTCATTTATTTTTATGAAAGTAATCCAGGCAGTGACGGACAAGCTTATTTTCAACAGACTATTTGTTTTTTAATAACTTTTAAAGGGAAAAGTATTCCAATATTTGATAGAGGACGCTTAGAGAAACAAAAAGTTATTTGTTTCAATATAAATAACTGAATTGACCAAGAATCAGGTAAGGGCGAGTCCGAGTCCATACTGGAAGATTTTTTGACGGACTCTGACTCCAACTTGAGTTTTCATATTTCGAGTCCGATCTATTCAACTTTTAACACAAATGAACAGAGAAAAATGAAAACCGAAATAACAACACCTTCTGTTTTACAAGAAATTGAAAATTTTGTTCGGAAGACGGACACGCAAAGTAATTTTATTTTCAAAAAATCAAATATCTATGCAGGACTCCGTAAATTAAAAAAAGAGAAATAAATCACCCTCGTCAAAAAAGAATCTAAAAGATTACCGGACTGGAAATGGACTCGGCTCGGACTCGCCCATGCCTGCTAAGAATTAACATTGCGACGGAGATATCGGTACATGTCGAAAACAATTACATTGTATGATCAATATTGTTCAAATGACGTACATTTAAGACAAAAAACAAAGCTGACAAAATCCAATTTCATTTTATCTATATAGTTTTGATAAGTATGCTGAATTTAATGCTCTGATTTGAAAATCCGATCACTACTTTCGGGAGAAGACTAATCCATTAAGATTTCTTTTTTCTTCTCTATTTTAGATGAAAAATTTTCAACAATTGGTTGTCAACGTTTTGCCATTTATTTATGTGATCAATATTTAGTTAATTATGATTCACAACATACTGGAGTCTATTTTCATCAGTATTCTTTTGTACCGTATAATAACCAAGGGGGAAAAATCTCACTTTAAGTGTGTGCACTTATGACCAAAATGTCACTTGAAGTGCCGAAGTGACACTCTAAGAGTGTGAGTCAGTTTTAGAGCGAACGTGATTTTAATTTATATTTTGTGCTTTTCTGACTGTTTTTCTCTTCTCTACCGTAAATCACGATCCGAACTTTGGACCTTGTTGTAAGAAGAATTAGATTTTGGTTAAAAACCAACAGTCGAATATATCTACCATCGGCACCAAAATTCAATGCACTCAATTGTTTTTCGAATAACTTCAGATCGATAAAAGATAGGGACCTGCGATTTTCAACAATCGAAAGAAGACGGCCTAACCTATGTTTTCATAAGCAAAACCTTTTTCCGAAACTATTCAGAAGGAGACCTTTGGAAAAGCACTTCGGATCTCTGGAAACTAAGATAGCAATCTATCAGTTTTTTTGCCTATTTTCGAGTATATATATAATTAATAAATTCATAATCCAGTCAAGATCAATCTAAATTATGTCAGAATATCAAGATGGACTCTATTTTACCTGCTCAATACTATGCAGTTCAATAAAAGCTTTAAAACTCAACGCAAAATATTCTTTTTTGAAACGGTTATCTAGATTTCTTTCGAAGTACAAGAATGTTTTCTACTATTCTGAAGTAAAAAATCGTCTTGAGCAAGTAAAATAGAGTACATCTTGATATTCTGACATAGTCTAGATTGATCTTGACTGGATTATGAATTTTCTAATTATACTCGAAAATAGGCAGAAATGAGTTGTTCCACCTAATATAAGTATGAAGGGCGATTAAAATGAGACATCTCCCAGCTCTACACGGCTTTTCTTTGCAAAGTTATGAAACTTACAAGGAAAGCCCTAAATGTCCATTGTCAGCTCAAAGCTACAGAAATAAGGAAAAATTAATTTAGGGCTTTTCTTGTAAATTCTATAACTTTGCGAGGAAACATCGTGTAGAGCTGGAAGATGTCTCATTTTAATCAGAAATTTGCGGGCTCCAATCATGCTTCGTTAAAAAGGAGGTTTTGGTTATCCTTTAGAGTTTCTAAAAACTGTTTTCCCAGCAAACCGGATCTTCAGAAGTCATGAGCACGCGCCTTTTAGGGTATTTACTACCTCACTGAGGTCTATCGATCCATGTACAAATCGTTGGAATCGGAAGGGGACATCTCGAAAGGTTCCCTCGTGAGACACTTCGAAGTGTGTGCAGCAAAATTGGAGGTTATTTCCCCCTTGATAATAACTCATTATTTCTCTCACCACAACAACAAAAAACATTTGTCTGATAATGTTCTTTTTTACAACAGTTGCCTTTGTGTATATGACATATTTATATTCAGTCTATATTTTTGTGTTAACGAGGGAACCTCCCCAAATGCCTCCTCGTTTTCTTAATGAAATTTAATAGGTTATAGGTAATTGACCATACTGATTCCAAACATGATAGCCGTTTTTGCTCATAGGCTTTTTCTAGCCGGTTTCTGGAAAACTAGTTTAACAGAAACCTCGAAAAATTCCCAAAAGTTTTTCTAAATAAGTCACGATCGTAGCCCGTGAGATTGAAACCTCTCTCAGCTCTACACGACATTTCCTTGCAAAGTTACAGAGTTTACAAGAAAAGCCCTAAATTTCTTTTTCCTTTTTCGTTCTGTAGCTCTGAGGTGACAATGAACACTTAGGGCTTTTCTTGTGAACTCTATAACTTCACAAAGAAAGGTCGTATAGAGCTGGGAGATGTCTTAATTTCGCAGGTTACAGTTTAGAAAAAGTTCTAGGGATTTTACGAGGTTTCTAAAAAGCTGGTTTTCCAGAAATCGGCTAGAAAACACCTATGGGCAAAGAAGGCTATCATGTTTGGAACCAGCATGGTCGATTACCTATAACCAGCTACACTTTGTTGAAGAAAACGAGGGGAATAATACGTTCCCTCGTAAGATAATGATTGATGAATAATACATAGTTCAAATTTTAATGTTTATTGTTTCTTTAGATAAACATGTCTGGTGTTATTATAGGACGAAATGTAATAGGTGAAATAATTTCGTCTAAAACAGAACCAAAAGATATTATTGTTAAATGTGAATATGATGGTATAAAATATCCGTGTGTTCTAATCACAACACCATTAAAACAATTTAAATCTTTTATACCCGGACAATTAATTCAATTTGATCTCATTGAACATAAACATTATCATGAATGTATTAATATTAAATTAGTTGATGACACCAACAATCACGAAAATGTACAGACATCTAATATTGTTGAAAAAGAAGATGAAGTCGACGAAGGTAAATACAGCTTTATGCTGCAGTATTGTTGTTTTTTATTTAATACAGAACGCTTCTTTTTCTTTACGTGTTTAGATATAGTTGAAAATTTCGATACATTATCAACTTGTACTGATATTACAGAAAATATTAACGGTCAACGTGTGCCATTCAGAGTAATAACAACATTACCATCAAATCCACATATTGGAAAAACTATTCGACAGATTAATAGAAATAGTCAGAGGACGAATACAACAATGACAATAGTGGATAATGATCTAATTGGTGCGTAAACATGAAGTTATTCAGTTACAAGGATGCAAGAAATAATAATTTATTATAGATATTAGGTAGATGATGATGAAAAAGAAGATCTTCGTGAATCTGTTTTTTTAAGCTTTTTTTCTAGAGCACTTGCATTTCACATTCTTCTCCTTTATTTTTTCTATTTATTTTTGTTCTCTCTGTCTTTTAGATCAACAATTATGTAAAATATCATCAATAGATATATTTTCAGCTGTTACTATGGGCGATGTTGAAACTGTTCTCTGGCTACTTAACCATTACCCACATTTATCTTCTGTTCGTGATGTTTGGTCTCGTACACCATTGCATTATATGTGTCGTCAAGGTTATACAATAATGATTCAATCATTATTATCAATACAAATGTGTAATGTGAATGCAATGGTATATTTATTACTGTGTTCATCCGTAACTTTTTGTTTCATTCTTTTTTTTTTTTGGTTTTTTTATTTGTTTTAGGATTCAAATGGAATTATCCCACTACGTGAAGCAGTTGAATTTAATCAATTAGATTGTGTTCATTTATTGTTACAACGAAATGCTGATCCAAATATAAAAGATAAAAATGGACGAACATGTTATCATTTGGCAGCAATGAAAGGTTATTGTGATATATTAGAATTAATTTTACCATATTGTAAAGATATTAATGTTAAAGATTTGGTATGTAACGAGAAGTGATGGAAGAAACTAATGGGACACTTAGTTTTCGTCTTAATTTTTCGTTACGAACTCCGGTGAAGTAGTCTGTTACGATCTCTGGACATAAGGAAAAAAAACAGAGAGTTCGAAATGGAGTTAGTATTGACAAAAATCAGTGGAATATAAAAAAAAACAGGGTGTTCGTAATGCAATTTGTCCAGGAGTTCGTAACTCTAACAATCGCTTTTTAAAGGTTGAACAGCAGAATTTTGACTGAAGAATGTCTGACGACAGGGTGTTCGGAATTATGTTCAGTTTTCTCACTTTTGAGAGAATGTGGAGTGATGCGCTAGCTTGCAGCCTAAGATGGTGATTTTACGAACTCTCTGTCAATGTCATTCCATTCTTCCGGTCTTTTTCTGTAAAAGGTGCCCTTAGACTTACATTCCGAACATCTGGCCTTGTTCATTTTGATTCCCGGGAACATTCTGTCAAATCATTCCAATTTCCCTACTTTTTCATTACGATCTCCCGCACAAAAATGTTTACGAACTACCGTCATAAATCTTTTAAGGACAAAAGTTCATTTATGAGCACCCGGACACATGTCCGGAGTTCGGAATGACTTAACACCAAAACAAAGGTACCTAAGCTAATTTAATCTTAGCATATATTTTAGGAAAATACAACATCATTATATAAAGCAACATATTATGAAATGTATGATGCAGTTAAACTTCTAATCAATTGGGGTAAATAAATACTGTTAGCCTTTCTCATTATCAATATTATCTATGAACTTTTCCTAGGTGCTTCAATTGAAAAATCATCCATTCGTAACCATACAATTGCTCAAATGTTGGCAAAGCAAAAACAATATGATCTTTTGAAACTTGTTTTCTTAGCACGAATACATACAACAAATGAATCGTGGCTAAATGAAAACACTACTAGTACATCTTTTTCTATGAGATCACCATTAACCATTGTAAAAATTGATGATGATAAATTAATACAATGGTTATTAAAACAACAAACACAAATACCAAGTTTACTATTATGTTGTATAAGAAAAATTCGATTTAATTTAGCAGGACGACAACGACAACAATCAATAGAAAAAAATATAAATGAACATTTGATAATGTTATCGAAAAATTTAAAAGATAATTTGTTATTAAAAAATTTAGTAGAGAAATGATGATGAGTAATAGTTGTTGTAAATATGAAAGTATAAGAAAATGAAGTCTTTTTAACTTTTCGAATAATGAAGAGTAATTCAATCTCAGAATTCGACGTATCGGCAGTAAAAAACGCGATTAATGTTTCGTATATCTGAAAGAATTTCCAACATCCATATGATTAATATCGTCTTACACCGTTCTTTGTCTGTTTTTCTCTTTGTTTTAGATAAATAGCTTAAGATTTTTAAAAATATCCGGTTAATACAGCTTTTTTGTGACGTTTCGCAGTATTTCACCTATACTGTTTTACGTTTATTGTACATAGAAAAATGTTGAATACAACTCTTGTAGTGAAGTAAATGGAAATCGTTTCTAAAAATAATCAGCTTCAAGGACTTACGAGGGAAGTCCACCAACTGTTCAATCGCTTTTGAGACGAAACCTAGTGGCTGATAGGTAATCGACCATGCTATTCCGAATATCGACATGAGACGGGCAGTTAGGCCTCCAGAGACCTGGTTTTCCTGAAAACCAGTTTTTCAGACACTAAAAAATATTATTTCTGTAGCTTTGAGCTGGCAATGTACAGTTAAGGTTTCTCTTGTAAATTCTATAACTTTGCAAAAAAAGGTCATGTAGAGCTGGGAGATGTCTCATTTTAATCAGAAATTTGGGGGCTATAACCATGCCTCATTAAGAAAGGTTTTGATTATTTTTTAGAGTTTCTGAAAGACTGGCTTTCCGGAAAAAGGGTCTCTGGAGATCTAACTGCCCGTCTCATATCGATATTCGGAATAACATGTTCGATTACCTATCATCCACTAGGTTTCGTCTTAAGAGCAATTAAACAATTGGTGGATCTTCCTCGTTAATGAACGCAGAGATAAAAGCAAAATTCTGAGCATGCCAATTATTTCTGATTCAGCCGCTAGAGTGTTAAATTATACGGATTCTAATGTTTTTGAATTTTCCTGTTCAGATCAAAGCACTCGTCGAAGATTCAGTTGGAGTTAGAATGCTCATTGAGATTAAATCATTATCACACGATTGAGTGTCTTGTTTGACTGAATCATAAAGACTTTCAATCTGATTGAGGACTTCTTTGACTTTTTTCCACTCCTTCCCCCAGATTTGATATTGAGCCTTATGACCAGAAAACACACATCGAGCCGATTTGAGGTATTTTGTCGATGAAGGATACAAACTCTAGACTAAGAGCTCTGAACACAATCAGAAACAATTATTGAAAATATATTTTGATAAAAAAATGAGTCCTTGATCTAAAGGCATCTGAACCTAAATCAATATGCCAAAACTTATTTAGCTTAAAGCTGACAATCAGTTACTGAGTTATTTCCATGCAGAAGTTTTCATAGAGACAAATGTTAGAAGCGGCTGTAGCTTCAACAATGCAGTCTGATTAGCATTATATTATCAGTAAATGCAAGGTCCTTCAGTAGAAAATATTTCTATGACATTCTTTAAGATACAGCAAGTTCACGATCTGAGGAAGTACCAACTGTCTTGAAAACTGACACAGAGAATCGCTTTCTTTTTGGACAATCGACGTTTCTACTAGATTTTATTTGAATGAGACAATTTCTTTGAGCCATGTTTAGGTGACAGATGAACGGCGGTCTAGGCCATCATATGTTGCTCTCTGCGTAGAAACTGCGATCGCACCAAAACTTGAAAATCATGGAAAATAGCTCTTGTAGAACACATTTATCAAAGTACAATCGTTAAGCTATTATACAGTAAAATAAAATGTCTGCATTACTTATCTCGCTTGATAATGGTTGAAGACCAAAATAGCTAGAAAATTGAAATGAATGAGAAATTCGTTTTTTTGTACAAACAAACTTTTGATAACGATAAAACTCATGGGTTTTCGATTTTTTACAAGATCGAATTTTTAAGTCCTGATTCAACATTTTACTTTATTTTTTAAGTTAGAGTCAATTACAAATAAACGCAGAGACTTCAGATTTGGACATGTTAAATATTTTGTCCTCTTCAATCAACAACCGTTACTGCAATCATCGGAGAATTAACGATCACAATAGCAAACAGTTGATTGATATTAATCGTTTTTGGTAAATAAAATGCCCATTCATCACCTTGTTCATCCATCAAAAATGCAAGACGATGTTGGACAGCATCAAGTACCAGTGTAACTTCACATGCACTACATTGTCGTTGATTGTAGAGATACAAGTCTTCTTCCTCTTCTGGCATAGTATTTTGCATTAATCGTTGTTCGTATTCAATTTTTTTTTGTACCGACCAAGTATACGGTTTGATACCAAACCGTTTATTTTCAATATTACCTGACCATAAATCTAGAACCCAGCATTCATCTGACTGTAAGGGATTTGTTGGAATAACTTTGTCATTGACTGCATGAATGATACCAACATGAGCAAACGATCCTTGTATACCCGCACAGTATTCCAATCGAAATGTAATTTTTTGATAATGACTACTAGTTGCAGAAAACGGCTGAGTTACTGTACAAATAGCTGCAAGACTCTGTCTGTGAAACTGCCTCGCTTCTGATTTTTTACCTATATTGTTCCTTCCAGAAATTGCTGTAACTTGGAGAAACTGGTCACCAGCACATGTTTTATCTTGATTCGATAGAACAAAACTATGATCAGCTTTATTAATTCGGAAACGAGCATTTTTTAACTTTTGTGCTTTATCAGTTGGTATATTTCGTGTTTCTAACTCTTCCAAACGTTGAGCATGATCATTAATTATATTTTCTAAACGTGTCATATC